TAATATCACTTTGTCATATCGAGAGCCATGTGACGATGAGACAGCATTGAGCTAAAGCAAATACTTAGCAACGTACTATTACCTGCATATCGCAGATGTTCACCAGACAGACCGTCAAAAGCCTGTTGCTTCCATATCCTCTTTTCGGTGTATTATAAACTCAGTAGGCAGTAATTAAAACACAATAAACGGTGATTGAACTCCGGACTTTTATTTCTCTCCTGGTTCTCGTGGTCATGGTGTAGTTACATCCCATACACATAGAAGGCGGTACACACAAAATGAGGTGACACACCAACAAAGCCTGCCGGTTTTTTTTTCATAGGTAATTTCATTACAAAATCATTAACAGTTTGAGCTGTCACAATAGGACGATCAGCTGATCGACCCCCAACGTCAACAAAGGCTTGAACACTTTCCCTATCGTTAGTAGTGTCAATACAATTAAACAACTGTTGATAATGAAGTGCCCATGTAATTACAAATGTCTTGATTCCCGTTAACACGATCAACTGTATTATAAATTGTTATTATTAACTGATGATTTTTTAACATTTTTCCAAAATTCACTGTAATTATTTCCTCCTAATGATTTAGCAATAGCATCGGCCTTTAGTGATTCTTCATTTCTTTTACACCACTTGAGAGCCTGTTTAAACCTGCATCTAGAAATTTTCATTTCATTGTAAAGATGCCAAAACCTAGGTTTTCCATTCAAACGCCACGTGTGAAAAGCCTCTCTAGCAATAGGATGAAGATCGTCAACATGATCATTCCAGTCAGGTATGTTAAACGAGGCAGATCTTTGGTTGGATCTAGAGCTAAAACAAATATCAGATGCCTTAGAAAGACTACTAATAATGTTACTATATAAGTTATCAATTTCATTTAAATGGTCTTCACTTTTACAACAAGTATCAGAACATACGAAAGCTTCACTGTTAAACTTTACTGTGTTTAATAAACACTCTGATAATTCACTATACAAAATTTAGGTTAGCATCAGATATTTTGTCCCAACGTACAGATGAATGTTTTATATTACAGTTTTGGAAATCTCACTACATATTATTTCGTATGAGAACAGAATGGGGAAATGGTCAGACCCAATCATATCATACACAACAGAAACATCATTTATATTATCGTGAGCACCATGTGTGGCAAGGACATGATCCAGCCGTACGGTAAGAATGGCCCCGGAAAAAATGGCCCCGGAAAAAAATGGCCCTGGAAAAAATGGCCCCGGTAAAAATGGCCCCATATGACAGGTCGGTAAAAATGGCCCCAATAATCAAATTATGAATTAAAACTGATTTTCTTGAGTCATTATATGCATTTTTTTTTTATCTTAACTAATTTAGTTTTTAAAAGGAATCACCCCAATAATCAAATTCTGTATTAAAACTGATTTTCTTGAGTCAATATATGCATTTTTTATCTTAAATAATTTAGTTTTTAAAAGGAATCTAACATCAAACAAATTGCCATTTACATTTTACTTTTTGCAAGAATTAATATTCAATGATAAAATATTCAAAGATAAATAAAAAGCCATGAATTACACTTTATATTTTTTATTTTCATTTAAATGTTAAAAAATAGCAACAACATAATCAATAAATCAACATAAATCATGCATTTATTAATACTAAAATAATTTACTTGTGGCCGATTTCACGGAAGCGGAATCACAATTTTCCAGAAATTCAATCTGTGTATTGGTAAACCCCACAAACAGTGGGTTAGTATGAACATCAAATTATTATTTTATTTTTTTTTAAAGAAAAAGAGAGTTCTACAATCATAATTATATAGTTTAGATGGGGTTTACAGTGTGTTTAGAGGTTTGTGGTGCATTTGCAAGTATTTTTTCATAAAAAATCTAAATTTTAACCAAAAAATAGTTATGAATATTTAATTTTCTTATTGATATACCAAGTCAGTCAATCACAATTGAATTGTTTAATTTTCTACAGTGTGTTTTGGGAGGTTTGTGGGATTTAGCAATACCACATCATCCTACCATAATCACCCTACCCTCACAATCACACGCCATTTTAATTTTTAGCATAATTGCCATATGTAACTATACATAATTCTAAGCTAGTGGTAGGCGCTTGGATTTAGTTAGTGGTGAGTAAAAACCAAGTATGCAACTAAATTAGTTGCTTAAATAAATGTACTCCTAATTATTCGGTTTATTAAAAGCAATACTTCTTTGAATAAACTCTAAGCAGACAATTTATCGCTAAGTTTGCGAGAAAGTAAGCCTCTCCCTTTTCCCATACATGTACTTGTGATTCAAACACATAATTGATCCACATCCTTTAACTACTGTTTATTTGCATTGTTTATAACATGTAAAGTTAATTCATTGATATTTAACAAAAGTGAAGTTTGTGGTTATCTATGAGTTGCATATTTTGGTAGTTGAAATACTGTATACTGTATGTCATTCCTCTACTTTGTTAGTGAAATAACGTTTTTAAAACTTTTATTTCTACTATAAAAAAATGTTATTCAATGGCCATTGTTTTTCGATTATCATTAACATTATTTGCATTTGCTGTAATTGTTTAAAAAAAACAAATGCTTTTAAAGACATTAAAAAAAAATCACATATTGGTCTCAGTTCAAAGGAAAAATTTTCACCTATAAACCTCTTAATTTCACAAAAGAGTGGGTTCTTTTCCAATCAAATACATCCTGCCTAATATTGTGTGTTTAGATTAGATCTTTTGCTTTAACTTTGGAAACTGAGATCATTTTAGATACTATTTCTGTATAAACTAAAATTTTTTTCTTCATATTACTGTAAACTTAATGGGTTTTGATAAACTTACTCTGCACTACGGAATTTCCAATAAAAAAAAAGAAAATTAATTAAAAAGACCATGGATTAAAAATAAGTAAGGCGTAACATATTTTTAATCTATGTTAAAGCATAACTATTTTTTCATAATGAAATTTAGTAAATCAAATTATTATTTGTGGCTTTTATTTATTAAATCAATTAAGAACATAATCTCAAAACAAAATTTAATGACAAGAAAGATCGACGTTTCGGGTCCATCATGGAACCATTCTCAAGATCAAGTAAATTGAAAAAACTAAAAACAAAAATACCAAGCAGTGACAGGAAGTAAGTAATTAATTTACATATCAATAGAGCCTACTGTGTGAAGCCACAGTGGAGCTAAGCAATAATTAGCCCTTCTTAGCAGATTAACTAGATAAACAGTTTGGCTTTGACTGAATCAGTTTGTTTGTTAAGTGTAGGTTTTTATGTTGATTTATTAATTAAATTTTTGCTACAGGGTATTTTACAGCATTTATTTATTTATTATTAATTTTTTTTTCTTGAATTTTATAATTGAGGGCCCATTTTTTATTTCTTGATTCAATTCTTGCTTATACAGTATTTAAATATTTGAAGATTAAAAAAAAATATATCATTTCTATTACCAAATTTTTCATTGGGGCCATTTTTACTTACCTGTCATATGGGGCCATTTTTACCGGGCCATTTTTTCCGGGGCTATTTTTTCCAGGGCCATTTTTTCTGGGGCCATTTTTTCCGGGGCCATTCTTACCTACATTTGATCCAGCCAGCTATTCGTTCCATGTGCTTCACTTAAATAAGTAAACGTATTAGAGTGAATACCTAAGAATTCAAGATCACTAATATGGATATCATATTCATTACAGAAACTGATCAATTCTCTGCCAAATTGTTTCTTTACGTCAGCATTAAAATCACCCTCGACCCTTCAAACTCTTCAATGATGAACTGTATTTTTCCTAAATACTCCATATTTTCCTCCAAGTTATTATCACAATCACAAGGCATATACACACAAAGTAGGAGGGTTCTGTATTTACCTTTCCCTAGTTCGATTCCAATTATTCAGGCATCATCAAAATTAATGGGCTTACATATATCAACAAACATTTTCTTATACATGATGGATACTCCACCAAAAGGACGCCCTAACAACAAGGATGATGAGTCTATCGTAGATACACTAAAGGCATCAAAATCGTCATGAAGATATTTAATCATAGATAGCTCTTCCTCTAACAGCCAGTGCTCTTGTAAACATATAAAATCACAAGTGCAACATAGATCATATATTTCTTTTACACGAAATTTATAATTTTTGCTGTTATATGAAACGCATCTTATTTTTCCTTTATCGTTTACATTGGTATCCATATTAAAGTGTACAAGATAAATCATCGCCAATCATCATCACAATCATCCTGATTATCATCATCACCATCATCACGATCACCATCGCCATTTACATCTTCATCATCACCATCATCAAAGTTATAATGAAAGACTTCGCAACTGATCTATCATGCTGACTAACATTTCTACGAGGTTCATAGAACTATCTGATTACACAGCCCTCAGGCCATAAACTAGCATCGTATACCTGATTCCTTTGGGACACGTTACAAGTTATGACAAACGCCGCGGAGGTCGCACTCTCCCGCTTTGTCTCCAACTTGTCAACTTTTACATCACTCATTTTGACATTCGTTCTAATATTATAATTAATTACATTTCCTGTTTTGCCCACCCAAATACATCTTGTACGGAGGCGCGGGTCTCACTTTCAGCCCTGAATTCCCTGTGCATTTTGCCTTACCCCTCGTGACCTTTGACTTTCTTTCCTGTCTTCTGAATGTTTGGGGCACTGTGCTCTTCCTCTGTATCTGCTTGCTGGTGTCATAGTCGCTACCAATATTTTTTTAAGCCATAGCTGCGTATGTAGGCCGAGCTAACTTACTATTTTTCAGTCCGATCTAAGACAATCAGGTAAATACATGTCCTACAAAAAGGCATCTGAGGAGTAAAGATATTCATTCCTGAGGAAACTCTTGCAGAATTTTCAGATTAGATCAGAAATAACTGGAGCAAATTTTAAAAACGTTAACCAACCGTAAGCACGCCCTCTAATATTAACACCCATTCCTTGTTTTGAAATCCACCAGCATTCAACACTGTGTCCAAATCCTTGGTTAATGCCTTTGCTTCTTCAACCGTTGACACTGAAGTGCAGACGTCATCCATATAGGTATCGTTGAGCAAGACCTGTGCTGCATTAGGGGATTTCTCTTCTCCTTCCTTTGCTGTCAGCTTTAACGCAGTTTGTGCCATTGCGGCAGCCGGTTTATCACCAAGCGTCAAAACTTGCATTATGTAGGTGTCTGGTCTTTTGTTAATATTCAAGTCACGCCATAGGTATCTGTGGGCATGTTGGTCAATTTCCGGTATTAGAACCCTATGATACATTTTAGATATGTTACCGCAGATAGTGACTTCTTTCTCTCGGAATCTCAGTATACACTCCATTCAGGTCGTTTAATAGGTCAGGGCCTTTCATCCAGTAGGCCTAGTCATTGATTACATTACATTTATTAGCTGAGTTGAATACGATTCTTACCGGAGTACTCTTATTTTCTGTTCGGACGAAAGCATGATGTGGAAGATAGTGTACCGGTCCCTGATATCCTTGCAATTCTTCCTCACTTAACTTCTGGGCAAACCCCTTCTCGACCATCTCTCTCATTTGTATTTTAAGGCAGATCCATGCTCGTTGTTTTTGATCAACCTCTTCTCTAATCCACTCAGCATCTTCTTGGCTTGCCATCTATTTTCGGGAAGAATGGCCGGATTTTTTACCCACGGGTAAGTTACGAGCCACTGGTTGCCAACTTTGGAACTGGAATCTTCAAATTGTTGCTGTTGCTGTTGTTGTTGTTGTTGTTGTTGTTGTTGTTGTTGTTGTTGTTTATTATTATTTATTATTGTTATTGTTATTATTGTTATTATTATTATTGTTGTTATTATTATTATTGTTGTTATTATTATTATTATTGTATTAACTATATCATTTATACTGCGCCTTTTCTTTGTAGACAAAGTGCGTCTTTTCCCCTGGTCATTGAATCTCATGTTTTAAGTGTTGGTAAACATCGCAGGAGTAGGCAACCCTACCAGTTCCTTGCTCAAGGACACAAGCGACATTTAGTACCAGTACAGCGAGGGACTGAAACCCAGACTTCGAGGTTGAGAAACCATACCGTTCCCGCTGCACCAAACCGCTTCTCTCAACATACAAAATTATTGTTGTTTTAATTACATTGTACTGATTTCATATTATAAATAAATTGTATTTGCATTTGCACGAGAGCAAAGTGGGCGTGGTCGAGTGTCGCTTAAAATATTTAGAAAGTGCTCGAAAATTTTGCCAATTTGAGGGTTTCAAAATGCTTAATTAATCTATTTTGGAGTCTCTAATAAATGTAGAAACTAGGCAGTGGCGGCTCTAGGATATCTTTTCTGGGGGGACTAAGTTGTCCGACAGGGGGACTTGAGCTCGTAGGCTCGAGCTGGGAGGAGGGGTTGAGAGGGGGTTCCCCCTCCCAAATGAGATTTAGTAATTAAAGAATATATCAATTATAGATGGTCGAAAATGGCACTCTCAGACTGTGACAGACATGTGTTGGCTTGATGTGGGCCTATTTTTATATGTTTTATAGTCTGCGCCGCCACTGAAAATAGGCCTAACTTTTTTTTTTTTCTCCCCAACGGATTGTGGTTTTTCTCCCCGACCGTGGCCTACGGGAGCCCATGATGATACAGTACCGTACCAAAAGGCTTAAAATGAAAATGTCTTTAAAAATCAGGACAAATATGAATTCTAGTGACCCTCCAAAACCTTCATCACGTAAAGTAACGCATTTTCGCCCCTGGTAGGTGTGGTCAGGGTGGAGGAGTAAAACTCCTCTATGGTGTTATGAAACATACATTATTGGCTATTGACATACTGTACTTTTAGGAAATAATTTATTTAATTAAGCGGGCGCAGATCTGTTGGGGGAGGGGGGGAAATTCGTGAGTCGATACCTCAGGGGCGCACTATAGATGGGCTGAGGTGCAAAATTTGAGGACATAGACCTCTAGATGGCCGGAAATGACACTGTCTTGATGTCCTAGTAAAATTCTAATTCAAAACGTAGCGCCAACACTTTTCTCATGATCTTTTATATAAAAATTTTCGGCAACCATCTAATTAATATATGGGATGGCCTACCATAGAAAATGTAACTTAAAGCATTGTCTTTGATGTCTTTACTCCAAAGCCGTGTCCACACACCCACCTCAGCTCACCTGGTTGGGGCTGAGGGCGAAAATTTTCAGGAAATACCTCCGCAGGTGCGGCGCTAGCGGGTGGGGTGGGGGGTAAAAAGGGAATTTCCAGCAAGGTCATCGGGGAAAATGAAATGACCGCCGAAAGTACAATTTAGATATGCCTGACCAGCTGTCAAATTTTAGGAATTAAAAAGTGTTAAACGTGCGAGCAGTGCAACCATGTGCGAGGTGTTGTATATGGGCCTACTATCGCGATCGTATGTGTTGCGGCGGTTAGCACCTGATCTTCCCCGACCGACGTGGCATCTTACCTTGCATGGTTTTCTATACACCTTAAATAAAGAATATGTACCATAATCAACACAATTTTTCTTTAAGTCACATTACCATTATAGTCAAAATGAAACGCCAACAAATTTCTCATGATCTTTTATCAGGGATCTACTTAATATCCAGGACAACTTAGGCCTAATTATAGCTTACTAAGCTTTAACTATATATACTATAGTATGATCAACAAATCACAACTTTTTTTTCGCATTTAGAACAATTTTCTTTACTTTTTATTGCTATTAATATTATTATCAATTATTACTATCGTCATCATCATCATTGTTATTATTATTATTATTACTATTAGTAGTAGTATTATTAAACAAGCATTTAAAGAAACTTGCAAAAGGATAAAAACGAAATTGAACCACAGTATCGCATTTCTATCTTAAAAGACCTGGCCTGAGATTTATGGATTTAAGATTTTTTTTAAATCACGCTTAGGCCTATGTGTTCTATTATGCCTATGTATAACTTGTACTGATGCATATTTACATGTTTAGAAGTATTAATTTTGAGTGATCCCAGGAAAGAATTTGTATGGGCTCAAGAATAAGCTTTAAAATTTTAACACTGTGTACAAAGGTGGGGAGCCGCTCCCCCCCCTGGATATGTCCCTGGGGTGGGGGGTTGTGGCCCTTGTCGGGGAGCTGGACCCTTCGTCTGGGAATTCCTGTCGCCGCCCCTGACTTCTACTGTAGATGGCCGGAGTGAAAGCTTGTCTACCGCACTATCAAATTTCATCAAAAAAAGCGTCACATAAAATTTGATCAAACATACAGTTGGGCACATCACATTTTTTTTTGTCACATAAAATTTGATAGTGTAGACAAAGCTTAACACTCTTATAGGCCTAGATAACGAAATTCATCATAGGCCCATCACATCACCATTTAGGCCTATGCCAAAATGAAGCTTCACAAATTTCTCTCAATAAATTGTTAAAAGTGAGGGACCCAACCTCCTTAAAAATATGTGGGGGTACGTGTCTCCCTGTCCCCCCCCCATTCCCCACTTCCACAATGATTTGCGCCCATGTACATTGTAGGCACGAGGCACGTATCGTGACTTAATTTGTGGGAGGTTCGTTTTTCAGTGGAAAAGATCTCCGATACTCTGGAGAACATTGTGAATATATCTACGATCGAATATCATTTTTTCGTTTTTAAATGCCGACCTTCGCCAGTTTTTGGGCGGTTCGTCGTAGTCCCCCTTAACCTTCTCCCCTCCCCACCCCCACCCACGCTACGGGCCTGATGCAATTAAGCAATAAAGTACACAGTATAGGCTTACAGGGTGCATTCAAACCTTATCCGGTGGCGCGGCTGGACGTAAAGAAAGGTACGACGTAAACAAACTGAGAAACCCGTCACTACCAACGCCCAAAGCGGAAGTACATTTTACGAATGGCGGATAAGCTTGCTGATGGGACTAGAGTATTCTGTATTATTATAGGATAGACAATCCAGAAACCAAACAAGTTGATTCTGAGCTACTAAAAGGCATATCGAAAGGAGAGATATAAACAATAGCCGTCATTAATACAGATACATTGAGGGTTATTTAACCATTTATTTCGATATTTTTAGAAGTGATTTTCTCGCTATTTTTAGAAGTTCTTTTGTCTCCTTTTAAGGCCTACGCTAGGCTGGCCTACCTATTTTCTTCCTACTTTTACCTCTGACACAGTGACTGATTGAGTCATCGGCTATCGTTTTCATACGTTGGTTCAACAGTAGGAAGCAGGGCAAAGGAATGAACTGAAATATCCTAAAACATACGCAGGTATTGTTAGGTAGGACCTTACCTTATCTAAACTTTTTGATAACATGACTTTTATTGTATATTTAACAATAACAACACCCGTGTGTGAACCCGTACTGTACTTCGATTGAGTTGTTTTTGTTGGAGGTCTCTTCCTACCCTAGGCCCCTCTCTAGGCCTAACTAGGATAGGCCTAGCTAGACTAACCGGTATTCGACTAACCTACCCTACCCTACCTACCCTAGGGGCCCAGGCCTAGACCCGTTTAGGGAGGCTTAGCCCATCTAGGACTAGACCCGGCCTCTGCCTGGGCCTACGATGCTATTACTAGGCCTAGCCTAGCTGGGCCTGTTTACCAAAAGTACATTTTGTGTGATTCACAAATAAATGGGCCTAGGCTCTGAGTTTTCGCAATCAGTTTTAGCTTACAAAATCGACTGGGCGGACAGATTTTGGCCGCCTAAAGTGGACCTTTTTTGGTCCAGACCAGTTTTTTGGCCTGACAGACCTACCTAGGCTAGCCCAGGCCTCACCTCGGCCTGCTAAAATTAGGCCTAGGGGCTTAGGGTGAGTCGTTATTTTTCGACATACCTGGTTTATCTTATAACAGCGTAATTTTTAGACTTTTTGACAATAGAATTACAGGAATCTAATTTTAAAAGACGCATATATATGTAACTCATAGTCATACCTGGGCAATTCCATGCAAAATGGACAAAGCACCTAAATTTTCATATTCATTCTATATTTACAGTTTTGGTGTCTAATTAAAGCTTGAAACATATACTTTCAAGATGTGAACTCAGATTTTAAAATTTCAAATCAGAAGTATTGTTAAATATTAATTAAAATATGTCAATAAATTATCTTTTTATTTTCATAAAATTATACAAAAAACATACAAAAATAGACTAAGATAAAACTTGAAATTATAATAAAATCTAGTTTAATATGGTCAAATGGGTTACTATGAACATATGTTTTCATTCAAATTTACTTTTGCCTCATTTTTTATTAATTAAAATGAGGAAATATTAAACCTAATAAATATGTCATTTAGTTATGTCAGAGTGCAAGAAGTGGAGAAGAAAAATGATGTCCCATGGTGTAATGCATTTGTTGAATTGGCATGGAATAACCCTAATCATTTTTTAATTAATTTTAATAAATAAATTTTTATTAAACATTCATGTTTAGTTTGATATCCTATTTAAATATTCCCCACAAAAAATATTAGGCCCAGCAATCCGTCGCCGCATTTCGAAAATATGTGCCAATTTCCATGGATATTTTGCAGATTGAAGACATGATAGTAGGAACACAAGTATTTACGATTCTGTGCATCTCCTTTTCTAGAGGATTTCCTGTGCAATTTGAATTAGTTTGTTTTTGTATCCTCTGCAAAAAAAAGTAAAGTAAAATAAAATACATTTGAAGTTAGTATTAGAATTGATTAAGATCTGCAAACGGGTACAAATATATGGTATGGCCATCCCCCACCGATGGCCATAATAACGTCATAAAACACAGTCCTGTCAGCGTGTGCCTGAGAACTTGTGTATCGTGCCATGCCTGAGAAATTTTTACTTGCAGTTGTCGTTTAATTCTTGCAAATTAAAAAAAGAAAGAAAAACATTTTTGCGTGATCAATGCAGTATGCATGTAGGCCTTTTAATGTTGTAGGGCCATAGCAAAACTACTTTACTTTTGTGTTTTTTTTGTTATGATTATTGTGCAATAATATTGGGACAAATAAAATTGTTTTTAGGACAAGCGCATTTTTCAAAGGTACTTGTCCAGGGACAAGTGAAAATATATGAAATTCCCTCATGCCTGTATGTATATGTATATATATGTATATATACACTGGAAAGTAGTGCCCTTTTTATGAAAATTCTTGTTCAAAGACACTTATATGATATCAATGCGACTGCTGTTTGTGAGTTGTGTACTGTATCACAGCTTTGTTGTCGGTGGCTAATTTCTATCATGATTTCATTATCCATTGCACTTTCTGTTCAATTTGTGCAATAAAGTTTAAAGCCAAGAGAATAAAATAGTCAGCTGGCTATGAGTTTACCAAGCATAGCAAAATACCTCGGCCCACAACCCTGGTATGGTTTACGGGGAACGGTTTTTGTGGCTTAGTGTGGTCCAAAATGTGCTTTTAGACCACAATACTTACTTACTGGACAGCATCATGCATTTCTGCACTTACTGGCTGACTTGCGAGAGATTTCCACATCTTTCGATCCTGGGCTCCAAGCTCTGGCTTTCTCCACAGTCCATGTGATTTTAGGTCTTCCTGGACCACAATACAGTATAAGGGATTGGCGAAAAAATTGGGGAAAATAAATTAAAATGCATGAAAAAAGACAAAATAATGCATGAAAAGACACAAAAATACATTAATTTTAAAAATATTGCACCCTAAAAAAACAATCTCCTCCAGCAAGTCACGATGCGAATTTACAGCACTTACTTAAGTTCAGTCATTGAATCATGATTATTTATAGAATTTGACAAATTTTGAAGGAAGTTGGGCAGTGTCTAGTAAATGACTAATTTAAAACACTTTTTTTTTTCAGGAAAAAAAAAAAACAAGTTTGATTTTAAAACAACAGAATTAAACAATTTATGCCAATATGCAGACAATAAAATGTGTAGTTGTCGGGGATGGAGCTGTAGGAAAAACGTGTCTGCTTATCTCATATACGACTAACAAATTTCCTTCGGAGTATGTACCTACAGTAAGTAAATATTTTGCAAGCATAATTTCATGATATAAAATGTAAAATAATAATAGAATGGTAGAGGAAATGTAAAAAAATGTAGCCAAGGCTGTAATGTTTACTAGTGAATCAAATGCTTAAGTCATTGCAGCTCAAGTTTTGTTTTGAAGTTTAAATTTTACGATTAAAACTCATTAATAATGAGTTTGCATTCATTACTACAGCAATAAGATTTCATATTGGAAGATTTCATGTCTGCGGACATAATACAAATTTTAAAAAAAATTCTAAAATGTCTAATTTTCATGGTTGTGCTTCCAGGCAAAATTAAATTATATTTGTATATGAAATCTGCATTGTTGGTTGGTGGCAGGTACACAAAACCAGGTATAGATAATATTAGTCTTGCATTATCACTTTAACCTTACCTGCAACTATTGAATTAATCAACATATAGCACTACAGTATTTCATAAATACGTGTTGAAAAATATTTGATATAAAATGTGTTGTTCATGTACTGTATACTGTAGTTACTGTTTTTAGTTGTTTTCAGAGATCCTGCTTGATAACTTTATAAGACATACAATTTAATTACATTTGCATATTTATCACTAAATGTAACTACAGTAGAACCTTTAGAACCACAACATCGGCGTAGTTTACTGTATTAAAAGTAAAATATGCAGAAACAAGCTCATAATTAAAGAAATTAAAATACAAATACTGGTGGTGTCATCGTCCATATGAGGCGTATGTAAAATCAAGGGGATGTAAAAATTAGGGTACATAACATGTTCTGCTGTATTTTTGCTATTTTTACCTATTTAAAATGTGATTAGTTTTATTTTACTGTAGGTTTTTGACAATTATGCTGTTACTGTGATGATTGGTGGCGAGCCATATACTCTAGGACTTTTTGATACAGCAGGTAAGTTTATATGAATGCCTTACGGTGTACCATGAATAGTCCCCTCGCTTATCCAACTGTGAAAGGGATTGCCACCTATGAATAGGACAGTGATTAAACTCTGTCATCAAACTACTGGCAATTCTTGGCCCATGTGAATAAAATATGACAAAAATGTTGAATTGAGGAGTTCGCAATTATTTAGAAAGTGATAGAGCTACTCAATAGCTTTAAAATGACACCAAAATCAGCTCGGGAGGCGCTATACTTACCATTGACTTTGCAAGTTATCGCTAATTAGCTCGAATTCGTTAGCACGTATCTTATTAATTAAGTGAAATTGTTCATTTCTGATCGTTTTTCTTGGGTCCCAATCCCAACCACATACTAAAGTTTGGGGAAAAAAATCTAGGAGATTGATGTTTTTTTTTTTTTTTGGTTGACTTGACATGGAATTATGCCAATAGTAGTCTGTAGAAAATAATTAAATGCTTATAAACACATACAGTCTCTGCCAAGATTTTTTTCTTATCCAAACAGGTCAGGAAGATTATGATAGGTTGAGGCCTCTGAGTTATCCACAAACAGATGTATTTTTGGTTTGTTTCTCTGTCGTTTCACCATCATCATTTGAGAATGTCAAAGAAAAGGTAAGAAGATAGTGTTGAAATGTTTTCCCCATAAATATTCATGCTATACTGTATACAAACCCCCATGAACAAGTTTGGTTGACAGGTAACGTGTTCACTGGCAGAATCAAAGGACCAGACTGCCCAGCCCCTCCCTCTAAACTTTTGGAAATTAGATAAAAATGGAGAAAAAAAGTGAAAATTATATTGAAATTAAGTTTGAGTTTGCCATTACCAGCCTATATAGGTGCTGTAGGCATAAACTCAGCTCCAACCATGGTGAGCTGATGTTGTAGAAGTATGAAGCCTGTAACATTATTTATTTTATAGACCCTTGATCTGTAAAAGTTTATTTCTGGACTCCCTCTTTTTTGAATTTCTGGATTCCGCCACTGTAAAGTGTAATATATGCAAACAAGTTTATTGCAGCAAAGTCAGATTTTACATGAGTCCCATCTGAGAAATTTCTTTCCCAGCCATCCATGAGTGTATGCTATGAAGTTTTGGATTTCAACCACATGCCGAAATCAACATCGTTGCATTTATTGTACCCACACCATGGTAGTTTCTATAGTAATTTGATTTGAATCTCAAAATTTTTAGTGGCAGCCAGAAATTACACATCATTGTCCAAAAACACCGTTCCTGCTAGTTGGTACACAGATTGATTTACGAGATGATCCAGCAACAATTGAAAAGCTACTCAAGAATAAGCAGAAGGCAAATTCTCCAGAACAAGGGGAAAAATTAGCTAAAGAACTGAAGGCGGTCAAATATGTTGAATGTTCTGCTTTAACACAGGTATGTAATTGCAATCATTATCCTGCAGTAAAAAAAAAAACGAAAAAAACCTCAATTATAAATGGGTCATTCCATGCCAAATCACATAGAGGTCCTAGGTGACCCTCTTAAATTTTGCTCAAAATCTACCAAAACATTCCTTTTTATAAATAATGAAAACACCAAAATATTCAGACCCAATGTCCAAGTCATTTTAAATGACAGTGATTTTGCCACACTGTCACTTCCAAAAAGATAAAGCGAAAGTGACTGATAATTTAAAAAAAATTATTTCAAAATACAGTCGAGTTCGCCTAAGTCGAATCTAATGGGACTGGCATAAAAAGTTCGAGTTATACAGATTTCGACTTGCACATTTTCGAAAAAAAAAAAATTAACATAGAACAATACTATGTGTACTCAATGCCCACAAAATCAAATTTCACGCAAAACCGAACATTTTCTTAAGTCCCAAACTCATTCCTATTCTTCTTTTAATAAAATACTTTCCGAAAACATGAACTCCCTATTCCAAATTTCAGACGATTTGTCCAATTCAGGACGGTAACACTCACTCGAAAAACCAGACGATAGTTTAATAGACATTGTTTAACAACAAGCATACCAGACGCTGTGAAAACGAGACGCTTAGCTATACTCCCATTGCCATGGAGATTATCTGTTGATTAACGCGACACACCAGTAGACGTTTTCTTGGCTAATTATGAAGTGAAATTTACGCATTCCAATGTTTTAATAAGTGTATATTCTTGCTTTTAATCCTTAAAAACCATTTGGAATCAACCTGCAATAAAGACGGAACTCAACAAAGCAAGTTTCTACTGGTTACCTTTTTCAGTAGACGTCTAATTCAGTAGACGTCTATAGAGGAGGAGAGCAGACAGTAATTATACTAGTTAACTTTCCAATTCGGAGAATTTTGACCTGATATTATTGTTGTAGTAGGAATTTTCTTCTTTTAAATAATAATACTGATGACAAATTATGTACAAATTATTACGATTTCTATATAAATATCACGTTGTTTATTGTTAATAATTTGAAGCAGAACCTGCAAAGCGATCCAATACTAATGGAACTATAGAAATCACTACATTGCCGGATTAAGGCTAGTCATGCTAGACCACATTTTCTTCGTTTTTTACTCACTGTTGCTCACAGCTTTTCAACATTTGCCACGGGGTTAACCTTTAACACACTTTACTGTGTTCTGATTGGCGCGCACTCTGACGTAAGACGCTGGATTTTCGGGGTTGACAAGATGATCTGGCATTGCTAGGTTTTATTATCCATTGGGTTTTCCATGTGACATTAGGTAATTTAACAAACAACAGACGTTAACTCTCCTTTATATTTATTATTTATCTTACTAAATCAAGACTACAAAATATTATTTAATGAACAATCTTTTCACATGTGTATTGTCATTGAAGACATCATTTTTTGACATTTAAAAGAGGTAAAATAATTGTAAATAAAAAATAGGCTAGGCCTAGGCTAGGCTAATTAATTAAAAATAATAATACAACAGTAAACAAGTTCCTGTCGTGGACAGCGAATGGAAGAGGAGACTCCCATGAAGTCAAGTGTATGTTTTTCTTTTTGTAAAACAGATCCATACTTTAAATTAACGGTCTAAATTCGTGCTTGTCATTCACAAATTATCAAGCAATACATTGTTTATTGCAGTAAGCTACAGCAGTCTTTCTGCACTACAAATAAACAACATGCTTTTGCTTCATAGGTTCGCTTCGCGTAGCCTTGATTAGATTGTTTATATCAGGCTACGACGTATCAACGAAGCCTGCGCGCAGGTAAGATTGCAATAGTTTGTGGCGGTACTGTATGGGTGGTGCGAGCACTGTAAATGAATCAGTCTATACTCTGTTTGGAAAAGATTTAAACAAAGTGAATGAAGAAAAAGATTTAGAAATTGTTTGTGATTCATACTATACCTGACTTTCAGTATACATTTTGCTCTTGCTGCTAAGAAGGCCGTTATGAAACGTATGATGAGCCAGTCGTTTATATTTTTAATGGAAAGTCTTATATATAAAGTTTTACAAGTAATTTATTAGCCAACTTTGGAGCATTTTAACATTGTTGCTGCCCCTATGAAAAATGAAAGATAAAGATGTGCTGAAAAGAATACAAGCAAGACCAACAATGATGGTTCAAGTTACTGACGACCTCCATTCCTACGTGGATAGATTAAAAGCTTTAAATCTTCTGACTACATCATAAGGCATCAGGTCTTTAATTCTGGTCTTTAATTTCAAATGCCATAGATAATAGTCTTTCAAATGGATTCAAATTCTATTACTCATGTAATAGATGTTTCAAATCTGTCCTGGAGAACCACTGGTCCAACCACCTGCTTGCATACACACCATACAGTAAGTTTGATTTGACAACTTGAGGAGCCTATGCTAGAGCTTCAAATCAAGGAAGAAATTCCTAGATTCTAGTAAGTTCAGTATGTAAACTGTAAAACAAACAACATACAGTCGACTCTGCCTAAGTCGAATCTAATAGGACTGGTATAAAAAGATCGAGTTATACAGATTTCGACTTTCGATGCAAATTTTCGAAAAAAAAAAAATATTAACATAGAACAATACTCAATGCCCACAAAATCGAATTTCACGCAAAACCGAACATTTTTTAAGTCCCAAAATCATTCCTATTCTTTAATAATAAAATACTTTCCTGAAAACATGAACTCCCTATTCCAAACCTCGGACGATTTGTCCAATTCAGGACGGTAACACTCACTGAAAATACCAGACGATGGTTAACGACAAGCATACCACACGCTGTGAAAACGAGACACTTAGCTGTACTCGCATTGCCATGGAGATTATCTGTTGATTAACATGACACGCCAGTAGACGTTTTGTTGGTTAATTATGAAGTGAAATTTAGGTACGCATTCCAATGTTTTAACACCTTGGCTGCCAGCGACGAGTATACACACCCACAGGGTGTTGCTGAGGGTGCCAGGAACGAGTATACTCGTCAAAATTGGGGGAACATTCTAGCTTTTATAACTTCTTTATTATACAATGTAGGACCACAGACTCCACGGCTGGTAGTTTGGGGAAGATACACCTAGACGATAACGTACAAATGACATGTATGTTTGCTGTTTTATGTTGCCGGTAGTACACACGAGCGGTACAAGTGGGGGCGCCCTTTGAACATATACCAACCCATGCAAAAAGAGGAGATAACTCGCACTTGGCATAGTCAGTAAAAAGTTCTACCACAGTGCCACACATTATTTTGATGATATATGACTAGATAAAATTTCAAAAAAGTATGTTTGTACATGTAAACTTGTTTTGGCACATGGGAAAGAACCGTAAAAAAGGGTCTGGCAGTCAACGTGTTAATTAGTGTATATTCTTGCTTTTAATCCTTAAAAACCATTTGGAATCAACCTGAAATGACGGAACTCGACAAAGCAAGTTCCTACTGGTTACTCTTTTCATCAGTCGACATACGATTCAAATTCGTTAGATTCGTCAGTGTAAAATGCAAATGCACCTCAAGATGCTATTCAAAACATGTTGCTAATTTTATTACGGAGGAAATTTGTAGAGAATAAAATCTAATTTGTTAGGTTTATTTAGATTTGACTCTAAAATAATACCATGATGGTTTCGTATTATGTTTTTTGCTTTGTTTTATACATTTGTTTAACAAAACATTCCTAATTACCGCGCACTATGAAACTTTGGGCGATCTGATGCCATCACAGCCGAAGCACATGTCTAGTGCAAGACACCCCACGAAAATGGACCAATTGGTGGGCAGGCAGAGTTTTTGGGGGTGCGACCTATTCTGTTTACAACTAGACTGCCGACCAGCAAGTGGCATTGCCCAACGAAGAATATGTGCTTGGAAAAACATAATCAGACCTAAAGTAATGCATGCAAAAACAATATAAAAATCGCATCAATTTTATTGGTAATAATTAAATTTGCTGAGCAGTACAGCAAAACAACAAGTACTGTACGTATTATTAAATAATGTGTTGAATATGCATGGGCTAGGCTAGCAAGGCCTAGTCAAAAGAATCCAGGGCTTTGATAAATTAATTAAATAGCTAGGCCCAGACTACAACAATCTTGTTCAAAATGGGTTCAATACAAGTTCTATAAACTGAACTGGACGACAAACTGAACATTGGAGCCAGTCCGGAGGGGTGTCTGTATTGTGAGAGTAGACTGCAACTTACGACATATGATCATGTGAGCCAAGTTCCACATTGCGCTGTCTGAGATGTTAGTTTTGACTTGGCTAACTTGTTGCCGTACAACAAGGATTGAACTTTGTATTTTCCCACGGCTGTGTATTTTCCCACGTGCGCTACAAAATTTGGAACTTCGACTTGTGTGGTTGAAATTACTTTAAAATCGGCCTATCCGGACCAGAAAATTCTGTCAATATAGCCGAAATTTGACTTATAAAAATTCGAACTAAACAAACAATTTACACAGTAATACATAGGAAAGAATTGGGACTTTTTCAAAAATTCAACTGATGCGAATTTTCGACTTAAACAGAGTCGACTTCAGCGGACTCTACTGTACTATACTTTCACTATTAATATTTATTATAACTTGTTTAATACTCTGATATATTGGTTTTTCAGAAAGGATTGAAGAATGTATTTGATGAAGCTATATTGGCTGCCTTAGAACCTCCAGAACCTCCCAAAAAGAAGAAGTGTAGATTGTTGTAAGGTTGTGTTGGTCCAAATTAGCAACAATACTGCTCTTAATCAAGCTTTTGATTGAAGAGTGTCCTATATACATGAGAAACCCCCATGCGGCTTTTATAAACACAATTTTTATTGAGTTTACCAAGAGTGATAACATGCTTTTGTTACTTTCTATCTGTATATTTTTATTGGTTTAGAATATATCCCACCTTATGAATCACATCAAAAATTGTACCAAAAAGTTAAAAGGCAAACTCATGTGTTGGACTATAGCACTGACTATAAACTAACCTGAATATATTTTATTTAGTCATTTGCAAACATGAAGCATATTCATTGAAATCATTTTTAGTTGTGTCTTGTACATAACCAAGACATTAAACCTTATTTGTTATTAATGTAATCAAACTGTCTTTCATGTGAACTGTCTAGTATGAACCATAATTGCAGAATCCTAGAAACAGTCATTCCATCACATGTTTTCTCTTTTGCTATGTGCAATTGAGAATTCTACTTAATTCTGTTAAAAATATTCATATATTGTACATTATTATTTACTGAATTAATCTTTATTGTAAGTTTAAAATTGTATTGAAGTGGTTTAAATAACATATATATGGGTTAGCCTCTCATCCCCCAGAAAACATTTGGTGTTTTAATGTCAGAAAGTGATTCAAGAGTTATTATTCAGTTGTCATGGAAGCAACGTGAAGCATGTTTTTCCTCTTCCATCGGTGTATATTGAAGACCAGTAAAATACTATTGTGTTATTCACTTTTTATTGTGAAAACTTGTCAACTTTAGTTTTTGTAAGTTTATATATATAATAATTGAATATAATTATTTAAATATTCAAATGCCAAATTATTTGTTCAGATTTTCTTATGTTAAATGTGTGATCACAGTAGATAATTCTTGCAGGGTTTTTCATTAATGCTCACCATTGGAGCCATTTGAAATTAAAGGTACATTTATATGGATTCAAATGTAGTTACTCCTATAGATCAGTAGTTGTCTTTGGCTTTTTAAAAAAAGATTTCATGGTGTTTTTTTTTTTTTGGTTTTTTGTTTTATTTTGTTTTGTTTATTTTTTTAAGAAGCAATTTAGTTGTAGAGATTGTACTTGACCAATTTGCTTTCTCCCCTCTCACTCATTTTCCTAAGATAGTAAGTTGCTAATGCATTACCTGGTCTGTTATGTTATATACACATAGGATATTAATATTTAACCTTTTCAGATTATGAATCAATAAACATGATATATTATGATAGTTACAATTAGACCTAGATCTAATAATCTACTGTAGTCTTCAATAAATTTGCTTCATTACGAGACTGCATTTCTGATCACTGTTTTTTTTTTTAATTGTAAACTGAGATTGTTAACCATTTTAAACCAAAATACATATTGAATGTGTACAACATAATTTGTTAATTGTTTCATAGCTGCATATAGACAGCATAAATATCTAAATAATATAATGCTGTATTATTTGTTGTCAAATTTCTTGTACACATTAAAAACACGTTATATTGTCATTGCGGACTTATAAAATCCGCATACGCTATAAAACTAAAAGAAAATGCATACTTTTGGAGTCCGTACTGAGCCCAAAAAATCCGCAATGAAAATATAACGTGTTTAAAATGGATTTACTGCTTTCCTCTATAAATCTAGACTTGATGTGAAAACCTGTAACAAGAAAATTTGCATCATTTTATTCACTAAAAAAAAAAAATGAGTATTTATAAAAGCATTATTTCAGAAAGATAAAAGTGTATAAAACATAACTCTGCTTTCTAAATTTTCATGTCCTCAGTGGCATAACATCAAAGTGTTCTTGGCGCAAAGCCCCAGGCCCCCATTCCGAAGGGGTCCCGGAGGGCCTTCTCACTAGTATACAACACTAATATACAGCATTCTTCTAACAGAACCTTGACACTATAGTAGAAGACCCTCACAACTAGCAAATTACAACAATGCAATACCACAATTTAAACTCACGAATGACCTAAAGTGGACTCGTATGACAACAGTTCTTTTTTACAATATTAAGTTACAAATCAAAATGTTCCTCATGTGGGCTCCTCTACAAACTGACATTTTAAAGAGGTGGGGGGTGCGGGGATGAAATGATTAATTCTTAATTTTAAATAGAGGAGATGGGCGAACACAATGTGACGGCACTGGATTTTGGAGCGCGGTATTCGAAAACGAGGCTCGTGAACTGGGTCCCAAAAAAAAAAAAAAAAACTGGCGCTACAGGATTTTGAGCTAGTGTTAAAAGATAGGGAATTTCCTAAAATGTACGGAATTTCCTAAAATGTACCGACTTTCAAAGGCTTGCATTCGGTAACCACGGGTTAAAAATCGTGTCAAACTTATTATTCCATTGTAAATTTGGCCGTTCTTTTCATTTATATGGGTTTTCACTTATGAAAATGTCTCAATTACGAGTAAAATAACAGTTTGCCCCAGTTTTTATTTCGGAAATTTGCGCTAGACAGGAGTCAACTGATTCACTCAACCGTAATGAGCTGGTAACACACAGAGTCAACTGATGAGAACATTGAGAATGGTCGTCGCGAGCGGAAAATTGAAAAATTAGGACTGGCGCAAATATTCAATAATAATAATATAATAAGTCGAAGGCATTATTGAACAATGAATCTTTCAAAAAGATATGTTTGCTGTTTTGGATAAGGAAGTCTTGGAAGTGGTGATCTTAGAAGTGGCGTTAAATAGGTTTGTTACAACTTGTCTTACCTGTGTATGCATAGCCTAGCATTTAGTGCAGTACTGTATGTATGTAATAAGGAATACTACTCACTGCCTGGCGCGACCTAGGCCTAGTCATACAAACTATAATAATAATAATTCAAACATTAGACAAACAAACAACACTATTTTAAATAAAGTACATTAATTTACATTTTAATTATTATATCCATGCAACTATCAAGGACTACTACTACAGTATTACTAAAATGCCAGTTTATTCGTCGTGGAATGTGCAAAACTAGCTCAAATTTGGCTTGGAAAATATGCACAGAACTTAACTTCTGCATGATACATTGGCAATGGTTACATATTCAGATTAGTTCAAAGACTAATTTTTGGCAAATACGGCTCGGAAATACAACCACCTGCTAGACCCACTAGCACTAGTACGTCAAAATATGTCCAGCCATTTTGATGGTCAAGATACAGGGGCATTATTATTACTGACTGTACATTAGAAAAGATTGAGAAACAAGATAGTGTATTATATTGTAATTGTCTTCATCTTTTTAAAACTAATTTTTATTTATATGTTACAAAAAAGTATTATATTAATGAAATAATTAATTCTCATTCAAAATAATTGTTTAGGTCGTGGCTATGTTACACCACTTTGCAATGCATTTGAATATGGGCTTTTCACAGTGATGGTTAATTAAAATATATATATTTTCAACAAAAATTATCATTGGTGATTAGTGCCAATTAATTCCTTATAAAGATATTTTAATATCAATATACTAATTATTTTTTAATGGTGTAAGAATAGTCACTCTAATTTTTTTGACTGTTCAAACTTTTTATTGTACTTCTCTTCTTACAGGAAATGACGACATGTTGGATATCAGTGGCTTTTATTTGGTAGGTGTTTAACAGGCTAAAGAAATCTGACAGATGGACCATCCCATCTTGCACTGTGTGGGCGATTAGGGACAAGTTCTCAGAAGCTGTGAAGACTGCCCTGGGTTTTTTGATGCTATAGATGATGATGAAATAAACTTAAGAATTATTTATATATATAACAACTATAACATAGTTGCTTCAAAAGGATTACTATTGAATGGGATTACATTGCTTTAAAAGAAGAAAGTACAGTAATACTGGTACTGGTACAATATTTATTTATTCATTATAGATTTGGCATGCAATATAAACCAGATACGTAAAAAACAAAAACTAAATGTGTGGCATTTCAGTATATCTTCAGAAAAAAAATCACTAGATAAATCATTTTAATTCAATTCTTTTGAAATATTTTGGCCTCAATCACTTCCTGCAGAGCTCTGAGCATCGCCACCTTCTGCTAACCATGGATTGGACATGTCCATTTCATCATGTCCACAGAGATGGAACTGTTTGCATCAAATCCATTCGAGCCTGTCATTTGCTCCTATTGAGGAATAAATATACAGTACATGTAGTTACAATAATGCAAAACCAGGTTTGTTAAAAATCAAAAATGTTATCAAACATTGGCATTTGCTGCTTTATCAATCACATAATATACTGAGATACTGTATGTACTCATCTGAAAAGACATTCATCAATTGACAGTATTTTCAGTTAAACAAAACGTGTTGTTTAAATTACTTGATTGAAGCCTTCCTGTGTGCTAGTGTGTAATGTACAGTATTATTGCTCTTTCTTAATATAACTGAAACACCATACTGATATTTTTTTCATGTACTCTGGTTGAACAGTGATGAGATATTCACTTAATTTTCTTTTGCTCACCTTAAATTGTGTGTAGCTTCCATTACAAGTTTCAGCAAACAACCAGAGTGTTTCTTGCCAATGTCTTGCTGGGTGCTTGTATGCTTTGTACCACCTTCTTTCGTAGGTTGCCAATGTTGGGTGGTTGAACTCACAGCAAATGTTGTGGTATCTTTGTCTCATCATGACGACTGACAAATACCTATGTGACCAGTGTCATGTTTCGGCCTATCACATATCTTGTCCTACAAAAAAAAAATATACGTTATATTTTATTTGAATTCACATTTCAACAACAGCTGAAAGTTAGGTTTGGAGTAACATATGCATCATGTTATTATTTAATGGGGCATTATTGTTGTGTAGCCTAAGCTTCTAGACCTACAGTATATCAATAATAATCAGGCCCGTAGCCATGGGTGGGGGGGGGGTTATGGTTCGGGCGAATCCCCCTTTTCTAGCGAACCCCCTCGAATTTTTGAAAGAGTCCCACTCGGACGGAATGTTTTTAACTTACCTAGCATTAAATCAAAATTTAGCACCTAATTCATTATTTGGTCACCCGTTTTTAGCCCACTTATTTGTTTTTCTATCTCCTCCTTCGTTTGTGACGCGATTAGGCCGATCTTGCAATAATATGGAAGATAAGGCGTGGGGAATTCAATTGTCGGGAAATATGTGAAAAATATGTTTTGTTTTTTTTTAAATCATATTTCTTAACACTACGGTGGGTTTCCTATGAAAGCGTGTTCGTCATTGATCAGATCGCAAATCGCCTGATTCCACATTGTGTTTATCAACTAATCACGGCCTGGAATGGTAAGCTTTGCGGCTAATAAATGCGTCTGCACGAGTCTAGTTGGCAGCGAAGAATGAGCCGTTTTGTGGTGCTTGCAAGGGTGGGTGGTCTCTCCCCTGAGAGATAAACAATGTACACTACTGTAATGCAGGCTGGCCTAGAGCTAGAGGAAGACGAACTAGGCTAGGTTGGCTGGGTAGTACGTGTGTGTAATAGATCAGATAACAGGAAATGTAGGCTACAAGTTGCTTTTATGTGTATTAAACCACATAATATTCAAATTAGTTAGTAGCGATGAGTGTATGTGTGCAGCACATTTCGTGTCAATGTACTGTAATGCAGGCTGGCCTGACGAAGACGAATAGGCTGGCTGGATACGTACGTGTGTGTAGGCATAGGCCCTAGTCTAGATCAGATACTACAGAAAATAAAAGTAGGCTACAAGTTGCTTTTATGTGTATTAAACCACACATTCAAATCAGTCAGCGATGAGTGTAGGTACAGCTAGCACATTTCGTGTTGCCGCACTGTGCTGTGGTTGATGACGAGGACGTTGCCGTTAGATACATGATAGCAAGGTCCCACATGGAATTTTTGTTCTATTGAGACGGTGCTTTTCCTTTACATTTATGAATTTTTTAGCTTTTCGTACTCTACACTTAGCTATCTGTAGCCAACCACATAGGCCTAGGTACGTAATATATTAGGTCAGATGTTAATTACATAAAATGTAGGCCGACAGTCGTATTTAATGGGGGCGGAGTGTTCAATGGATTACATTCCATTCCAACGATGGTATAACCAGTCAATGGATAGCCCAGTAATGAGATA